GTGTCCAGCTCAGCTTGAGGAATAGGGTAATGTCTTTGACGAACCGGGTTCACGTTTTCTTTCATCTCAATGTTGTGCTCTATCACAGATGTTTTTCCTGGTTTGTTGCTAATGACAGTGTCGTAATCCTTCAACAGGTTTTTCAGCTGATTCTTTTGATCCTTGCTGAGTTTGTCGTTGATCCAAAGATCCTTTTGATCGTCGTTCTTTGACCATGTTACATCAGTATCTTCTCCTTCTTCGCCGGTGATGTCATTGATGCCTACAAATCCCTCCATGTTCCTTCTTTTGAATTCTTTGAGGAGGTTGACGTGGTAGACCTTCAACTTGCGTCCCTTGTGATTTGTTTGGATTTCATAGTCTACGGGACCCACTTTTCTTACTACCTTGTATGGACCTTGCCATTTTGCTTCTAGTGCATTAGAGCTTGTAGGTAGCAATAACAGTACTTCTTGACCAGGGCTGAACTCTCTGACCTTAGACTTGGTATCATAGCACCTTTTCTGTGTCTTTTGGGCCTCTTTCATATTCTCTTTCACTACATCGGTMATAGAYGCTAGCCGCTCTCTGATGTTTAACACGTGAGAAACCACACTCTTCGGGCCTGTCACTGAACCTGACCACATCTCTTTCTCATCACATCTAGTGGACCTCTAACTCTCCATCCATAGAGCAATTCAAATGGAGAGAATCCAGTGGATTCTTGTGGGACCTCTCTGTATGCGAATAACAGGTAAGGCAGTAGCTCGTCCCAGTTACGGGGGTCTGTATCCACAAATTTCTTTATCATAGCTTTTAATGTTCCATTGAACCTTTCTACCAGTCCGTCTGTCTGTGGATGGTATGGTGCCGTTGTTATACCTTTGATTTCGAGTAGCTTGTAAATTTCACGTAGCAGTTTTGATGTGAAGTTGCTGCCTTGATCGGTTAAGATTTCCTTTGGTATTCCAACTCTCGAGAATAGCTTGATTAACTCGTCTGCGATTTTCTTTGCTTCTATACTTCGTAGAGCTATGGCCTCTGGGTATCTTGTGGCGTAATCAGAGATAACAAGGATGTACTTGTTTCCAGACTTACTCCATTCCAGCGGGCCAACTATATCCATCGCGATTCTTGAAAAAGGCTCTTCKATTATCGGCATAGATTGCATCGGTGCTCTGAATTTTGTACAGTGCTTCGATGTCTTCTGGCACGTTTCACAGCTGCTGCAGTATTTGGCTACATCTTTACTCATTCCAGGCCAGTAGAAGCGTTGTCTGATTCTGTTCAGGGTTTTCTTCTTACCGAGGTGACCTGCTAATGGTATATCATGTGACGCTCTCAGGACACCTATTGCGCGGCACTGTTTAGTTAGAACTAGCTGTTCAGTAGGCTCTTGATTTTTGTTTGCTCTGCTAACCTGTCTGTACATAATTCCATCTTTGTATGTGATCTGTTCTTCATCATCTTTACTTTGTTGTTTTTCTTTCTGTCTTAGGCTTTCCAGCGTCTCATCTTCTTGCTGTAGGTCTTTGATGGACTCTGGGTCGATCTCAAGCGGTTCATCTTTGACWTTACAATATTCTTTCCTTTCCATCCGTTTTTGATTCCTTGACTATGTCAAGTTTAAAGTTATGAAAACATCGTAAGTATTTTATCACACACAAACAAAGGCCTAAGGTACTACTTGTCAAAAAAATCTCCGCTTACAATTATGTAGTGTATTATTGTTGTGTGAGGACATAATGACATTCTTAACCAAACAAAAATCACAAAATGCTACCTCATGTGTATACCTCATGTGTTAAAAGAAAACATTGATAAACTTTTTGGCAAGATTTGGAAGAAGTAGATTGAAATTGGGAATAATAATAATATTCTCAATATTCAGCCTCGCTTTGAGGAATAGGGTCACGTGATCAAACTATATGTGGATTAAAGTATGTGAAAGCAAAGAACACATCTAGAATTACATTCTGACCAGTTTTTGAAATAAAATATGTAAAACTAACTATRATAAAGTAAAWTTAAAAGGGTAGCCTCGTTTCCATGCTGACGTTCGATATAGCATACTTTAAATGCCCCTAAATCCCRTCGGTGCGGTTTTMAAAGGTGACGACAAGTTTTGTCATGTTCCCAAAGATCCCCTTTACACATTCAAACTAGTCGCTTGCTTTCATCATCGATTTCCCACGGGACTTTTATTTATGACATTTGCTCCCTGACTAACCGGACAGAACTTAAAGAATAAGCATTTCTTTTTCTTTTTTCTCATTTCAGGTATTTTTGGAATATTCACTCAATCTCTAGCTTTGGTGAAAACGTATTTGTCTAGTACATAGGATTTTCATTCTCGATTCTGATTGGCTACCGCGCGCTTTTACATCATTGAACGTGATTGGCTGGGGAACTCATGTCAACATGGCGGCTGAAAGGTGATATCGAAGAGATGTGTAGAAGTAACTAGTTCAAACTCTGAAGCTACGTTATCGACGTTATCGGCAATATGTGATGTCTAAGAAAAGTTAGTTGTTCTTTTGACGTTTGTTAGTGTAGAAGATACCAAGAAAGTTAACGTACAGTCAGTCTTTCAGTTATTTTGAAGGGTCTAAAGCGATGACTTGCGTCACTTTTCACTATAAGAACTTCATGAGTTTAGGTGTTTTCACACTTTGTCGAACTTTTTACCTGTGTAGACCATTCATGCGATACTTATGTGGCCCAAAATAAGCAATATGTACACAACTCGATAGACATCATCACTCTAAAAGTTTCATTTTTTTAATTATGAAGTGAAATCATTAATTTAACTATTTTTCTATTTTTTTTTAAAGAATATTAGCATCAGCACACTTGTAGGAGCATTGATAGTGATATAAAAACCTGACACTTCATTAATAAATTTCTAGTACCTCATACTTCAAATGTGTAATCCATACAAGTTATATGTCAGATATGTGTTATAATTTAATTGTTCTTTCCTCTGTTCTTGCATTATTACTAAATAATTCATTAAGTAAAACATTTGTTGTCAGATGAGAAATTGCCAAATTTCTGGGTGGTGGATTAATAAGCAGAGACAAAAATACAAAACTATTGATACAGAGTTGCTTGATACTGCTTTTCAGACCTGTCTAGCTCCCTCTTGTGTTTCCTCACTTTAAATGCACTTCTAACAAAGTAGAGTACAAACACTAAAACTGTGCAACATAAATACCACTAAATACTGCTAAATTATGCTAATTCTATTGTTTTCTATTGTTTGTAGTAAATAGTTGAAAGTGTTGCACACATTTAGTATTTGCACTCTAGAATGAAGTAAGAAACTCGTAAATATGTTTTATTAAAGGATGTTTTGGCACTTAGGCCTGATCTTCAGCAAACAAATAAATAAATAAATATAACATTAACTGATATATATAAACTGATCATCAAACAGCATAACCAAACTGTTTTCAATTATCTAATTGTATACACATTACATGTCATCATCAATAGAAATTGGTATGAGAAATGTTTATCATAATATTTGTTCTTCATGCATGTTTTT